CGAGTAGGTGCGCAGGGGCTGGCTTGGCTGCTCGTGAGGAGAGCAGAAAAGAGCAGCCCACAACTAGACACAAGAAGAGTTTGGCTGACATATTGCTCTGAAATCTCTGCCTGAGAGCAGGGGAACTGGCATTCTTTGGCAAAGAGGGCTTGTGCCAACAGTTGGGGCACTGTAAATCTTTGCCAGCAAAGGCTCCCGTTCACCAACACTCCCTCCGTGGCCATGTGGGAGGGAAGTAGTCCTCTGGCTCCTGTCTCCAGCAGCTGGCTTCCTCTGTCCAGCGAGCTCCTGGTGCAGCCAGCGGTGTCTCGAGGAACCGGACAGGGGTTTCTAGAGGGAGGAGGGGAGCGTGAGCCAGCCTTGGCCGCGCGCCGCTGTAGGGCAGGAGCTGGGGGGGACTGAGGCACCCGCTCTGCTCTGCCGTGCCAGTGCCCCAGCCTGCGGGGGCAGGCAGGAGAGCAGCCCCGCAGCCAGGTGCCTGTCACGGTCGTTGTCTGGGTGTAGTTGTGATGTGTTCCCCAGAAGACACAGAAGGACACCAAAACGGAGCCAAAGTTCTCTGCAAAGGCAAGGCCAAGCGGCAGCTGGCCTCGCCCGCAGCGTCCCGGAGCGCATAGGAAACACGGGAGGCACGGGCACAGGGGGTGAGGAACCAGGCCAGTCTGAGCAGCTTGAGGGACACCACTGTCCTGGTTGGAGCAGTGTGAGTCCTCCTCCTATGGGGTCTGCCCTGTGCCTCAGAGCAAAACCAGAGAGAGACAAATGAGAGACCCAAGCCTGACAGTGACAACATTGGATTCTGCTCTGTTCTGTTTACAGTTTAGTATTTAAGGTTTTATAAATGTAAATATATTTTGTATATTTTTCTATGAGAAGCACTTCATAGGGGAAAGCACTTATGACGAGGCTTTTTACAGTGGTATTATCCTAATTTAAGAGAATCTCTTTTTAATGATTTTTTTATTTTCATAGGATGGTTCTAGGAAATACCTGGCTGGACACAGTCTGAGCCTTTCTCCAGTGGGGGGGTTGCTTTAGTTTTGTTTTCTACTCTTGTTCTGCCTTTTTGACTTCAGTAACTGTCTCCGGGAGGGTTGACTGGACCTTAAACTGTATTTGCCCATAAGGATGGGGGCAGGAGGGAGAGCTGCCCAGCATGGTATGAGTTTTGCTCTGTGGGAGGACAGTGTGTGACTCGGGCAGATAGTCTGATTCTGCCTTGCCCGTGCTGGTATCCCGCAAGGATTTAAAGAGGAAAAGCAGGACAGGATGAGACCTGACCCTCAATACCTCTTTGCTGGGAGGCCAGTCTGAGACACACACCTCCTGCCACAGTCTGTCCTCCAAAGGCAGACGGGTTTTTCTGTGCAGAAGGGAAAGCAGAAGGCGCCCTCGCTTTCCGAGCTTTCCTGGTGCAGTTGTTACAGGAGCCACTCTTCCCGGAGCTGATGTGTCCGAGGGCTGCTCTGAACCAGCGCTGGCAGTTGGTGGGGAAGGGACCGGGAGTGCCTGCTGACTCCCCGGGTCTCTCTGAGGGGCATCCCCCATCCACGCCTCTCTGGTCTTGAGGCTTCTTCCTCTGCCCTGAGAAGGAAAAGCAGCGCTCGGAGGTTCAGAACCTGCCGATTTCCTTTTGTTATTGCACTGTGTGAGGATAATTTGTTGGTAACTGTTGAAAGCAAAGTCACGTTGAGGCTGCATTTGTTACTGAGATGATTTGATGCACTGACAGTTTGGGAACGCACATACTTCGAGGAGCCCAGAGAGTGCCCACCCGGGGGATCTGGGCCCCGCGGCCGGAGCACAGCTGCTCTTGGCCCTTTTCCTTCCGTTTCTGACGCGGGGCGGGGGCATAGCCCTCGCCATGGCAAAGCCCCTGAATCTGTCCCAGAGCTCAGCTACGCTTTCTCACCGCGGCGCTGCTGCCGCCCCCCGATTTCCTGGCTGCAGGAGGAGGTTCCACTGGGAAGCGCTGCCCAGAGCCGCCCCACGTGGGGGGCAGTGGGAAGGAGGGTCGAGGGGAGCGCCGTGCCTCAGGAGTGCCCCGGGATCCAAGTGCCAGGCAACCTCCTCCCGCCGGGACCAGCCGAGCCAGCGGGCTGCCCGCTTTGCTGCTATTCCCGAAGCGGCTGCCCTGGCAGGAGCCGCTGTGGCCAGTGAAACTGTCTGTGCCCCGGGAGCTGCCCCGCCGCGGCCAGCCCGGGCTGGTGGGCGCGGGGCAGCGGGGCTGGGGCAGCCCGGGCAGCTGAGCCTGCCCGCCCTCAGCCCGGGCTGGCCAGGAGCACCCCGCTCCCCGTGTATGAATGTATATTTTATAAGGACTGACGCAGATCATGGTATCTGAAAATACTAAAAAAGGAACCTTAGGGCGTTTTTGGGTTTTTTTTGTACAAACCGACATGTTTTTTTTAAAGGAGAAGCGGGTCATTGCAAAGGGCTGGGTATATTTTTTTTCTGGTTTTCTTTCATTTCAAAGCAATACCAAGTTCTTCAGCAGGACGGTCTGTGCAGAATCATGCCATTCACCCATACACTGGTCCACTCTCAACACTTGCAAATTTTTTTATAGCTATAAATACAATATATATAGGAACTAATATAGTAATGCACCGTGTAATGAAGCCTAGTTCAGTATCGGTTCATGGCTTTTAATTCTCTTTAACACTATAGATAAGGATTGTGTTACAGTTGCTCACAGCTCCAGGAAAGCCTTGCTGCTCGTTCCCCACTGGCAGCCAGGGCCGGAAGCTGGGAGCGGGTGGTTTGGCCTTTCCTGGCCCTTCTTGTTACAGTCAGTACTTGTACAACTTGGTTTCTTCCTTTCCTTCCTCTCGTTTTGGTTATGAATGTTGGGGTACCACCTACATATAGGGAAAAATGTGCTCTGTGCTTTCCTGGTATCTTTTTAACAAGGTACAGTAGCTTCGTCTATCGGCCGAGAACTATACTTGTGGTGTTTCTTTTATTGAACTTACAGTCTCTTTAGTAACTACAGGTAGGTGAATAATTGTTTCAAAAAAAAAAAAAAAAAGGCAAAAAAAAAAAAGCTCTGCAAAGGCAAGGTTATGTTCTAGAAATACATTTCTTGACAGCTTATCATGTATAACAAAACTTTTTTTTTCTTGTGTTCTTCCAATCTACTGGTTGTTTGGTTTTTTTTTTGTTTTTTTTTTTTGTTTATTTGGCTTTGATTTTTTGGGTTTTTTTAAAAAAAAGAGGAAACGTGTCTAAAGTACATCAGTGTTAACTCCCTGCCACAGGGAAGAAGGAAATACTTTAATAGTTTAAAAAAATGCTGAAAGCTCTGCAAAAGACTGAATGTAAAAATAAAAAGTGTACATAGTTGTAAAAAAAAAAAGGAGTTTTTAAACATGTTTATTTTCTATGCACTTTTTTTTATTTAAGTGATAGTTTAATTAATAAACATGTCAAGTTTATTGCTGCAGAGGGCTCTCTCCATTTCTTCTTGAGAACTGAGAAGCTGCTACTTCTCCAGGACACTCACAAGGCGTGGGAGCCCCTGGCCAGCAGCAGGGGCTGCACGGGGTGTTCAGGGAGGAGCCCTCGGCTCCCGTGTGTGCTCAAGGGTCACCTTGGGCCCCTGCCGGGGGCACTGGCCAGGCGGTGGGGCCTCACGGCCAGGCTGCCATAGGACGAGGCAGGGTGAACATTAACTGGGCTGTGGCAGCCTGCTTGTGCCTTGTCACGGGCCTCAGTGACACAGCAGCATGGCCACGGCCAACGACAGGGCTGTCCTGCAGACCATCTTTAACCCCAGCACCCCTTTTGGGGATATCCCAGGGTTGGATGAGGAGGAGGAGGATGTCCAGGATGAAGGTGAGTGATGCTGCATCAGGTTCTCGCTGGCATTGCCAGCAGGGGCCCCATGGGGCAAGCAGGTGGGCAGGGAAGGAGGCTCTGCAGGCTGGGAGCAGTGCCTGCCTGAGGATGGACATCAGCACCCTGCCCTGTGTCTGCTCCTTCTGGACAGGGAGTAGGGAGGCAGTGGGACTGGGCCCCGTGGGTCGTCCTGGTGCCTCCCCTTCCCAGTCACGGTCTCCCGTTTACACTGCAACAGTGGAAGCTTTTCCCTTGGAGCTGCTGGATCAAGTCCGGGAGCTGGAGCTGCAGGGGGTTTCTGCGGCTGAGTCAGGAGACATAAGCACGGCCCTGGAGCGCTTCAGCGAGGCCATTCGCCTGCTGCCCGAGCGCGCCTCGGGCTACAACAACCGGGCCCAAGCCCTCCGCCTGCGCGGAGACGTGGCAGGTGAGCAGCGCGGGTGCGGCTGGTCTCCTGGAACCCCCAGCTCCCACCAATGCCTCCCCTCGTTGCCAGGTGCCCTGCAGGACCTGGACGCTGCCATACGGCTGAGCCGGGGCCGCGGCCGGGCCGCCTGCCAGAGCTTCGTGCAGCGCGGCCTCATCCACCGGCTGCAGGCGCGGGACGAGGACGCGCGGCGGGACCTGGAGCGCGCGGCGCGCCTGGGCAGCGCCTTCGCCCGGCAGCAGCTCGTGCTCCTCAACCCCTACTCCGCGCTCTGCAACCAGATGCTCTGCGAGATGCTCGGTCGGCTGCGCAACCCCGACGGAACGGGAAGCGACTGAGACGGGCAGGAGATGGGCCAGCAGCGAGTGGGATGGGCAGGGCCGTGCTCCTGAGCTGGCCCAGGCAGACCTGTCCTGGTGGCCAGAAAAGGTCCACCTCAGGTGTCAGAGCTCCCGTTCCTCCTCCTGTCTAACAGCCAGGGACTGGAAAGTACCGAAGCACCTTGCTGCGTTTGTCTCGCTCTGCTCCACCCCGAATAAAGCTCCCTCTATTCCCAGCGCCTGGGCTCTGCTTGTGACACTGCAGGCATTGTGGTGTGATTCCCAAGCGGGCACAGCCCCGGTGAGATGGGTGGCGCGGCGGGTGCAAGTCTGGGCCCTCCTCCTTGCGGAGGGGAGGTGGGAGGAGCGGGGACGCGCATCCCCTGTCCCGGCTGCGCAGCTCTGGTCGCTCTCGCAAGCGGCGGGACCGACCCCGCGGCTGCGCGCAGCGACCGCGCCCGGGAACGGCGACGGCGCGGCCCGGCCGGAGGGATGGATGAGCGCTCGCAGCCGTGCTGGGCCCGCCCCTGCGCCGCATGCACTGCCCTGCGTGCCGGGGCCAGGCGCAGAGCCGCACTGCAGACTGGGCTGGACACAGCAGCAGCAATGCTGCAGGTAAGGTGCAGCTGGGCCACATCCTCTGACCCTGCTGTGTGCTGGGGCCCAGCGTGGTGGACGCCCCCACGTCCCTGCTCTAGCTGCCTCTCTCCTAGCGCTGAGCACGGCTGATATAACATGGGGAGTCCCAGCGGCTGGCCGGGGGCTGCCCCTGCCCTCCTGCTGCTGCTGCTGCTCAGCCTCCTGGCGCTCTGCTTGGCAGGTGAGGCTGTGGTGGGGTCCGTGCATGACTCCCAGAGCGGGACCCCTGCCACAGCTCTGATGGGCGGTGGGCTCTCTGGCAGCACTGGAGGAACTGGACCCCAGCAGTGGCAGGCAGCCGCGAACAGTGTGCACCCTGCAGGAGGGGGAGAGTCGTATCTTCACCTGCTGGGTTCCCCGGCCAGCCCCCGGTGCCACACTGGCCTGGTACCTCAACGGTGAGAAACAGGAAGTCAACCTCTCGACTGCAGACACTGCCAGCATCCTCACCCTCACTGGCCAGCGCTCCGACCACCAGCTCAACTGCTCCCTGACCCTCCCGACCTCCAGTGAGACCTACAACACCTCCATCCTTCTCAATGTGCAGTGTAAGGTCCGCGGTGCCAGCCTGCTCCAGACTGGGATGTGGGGAGGGCATGTGGGGCTCCCATCCAGCTCGGGCAGGACCATAACCTGCATCCATCACAGCCATGGCAGGACAGCATCTTGTCAGTCCTGTGCAAACGAGGTAGACAAGAACTCCTGGACCCAGGCGAGACAAATCCTGCTCGAGCCGTGTTGTTCCCATCCCTCCTCCCCATCTCACTGCCTGTTTTTTACCCAGATAAGCCAGAGATCCTGCAGGAAGGTGCCCACTACCAGCAGGTTGAGGGCGCTGGCCTTCTCCTGGTGCTCTTTGTGCTGGTGCAAGCCAACCCGCCTGCCAGCACCACCTGGGTGGACCAGGATGGGCATGTGATGGCCAACACCTCCAAGTTTCTCCTCCTGGGTACCACAGGCTACCCAGGGCTGGCCAACCATTCACTCCGCATCCATCTCAGCTGCACAGCTGGAAACCTCTCCATCAGTGCAGCCAACAGTGTGCCCATCACCACTGCCTCCCTCCTGCCCACAGGTAACTGTTGAGGGGTGGGCATGGTGCAATGGCTCCGTGGAAGGGTGCTGAGGGGTCTGCACTGCCGGTTCAGGTCTGCTGGATGCCCGTGTGGAGCTGCCTGTCCTGGGTGTTGCCATTGGAGCAGCCCTGGCCCTATCTGCCCTGCTCAGCCTGGGCTCCTGTGCTGCCTGCATGGCATGCCGCTTGCCCAAGCTTGTGCGAGGTCCAGGGCAAGCAGGAGGGAACAGCCAGTGCTCCCATTGCAGCAGCTCTGAGCCCCCACAGCCCCAGGGCACACGTCTGCCCCGCCAGACCCAGTCCCTGCCACCCAACCTGCGCCTCAGTGACCTTGCACAGGAAGATGGAGGTAAAACCCTGATGTGCCAGTACAGCAAGACATGTGGGGCCCCAGGTCCTGGCTGGGTGAGGGATAGATGTCCTGGCTCTCATTCCTTTGCTTCCCTGCAGCTTCCCCCAAGGATGCAGGAGCCAGTGCTAGGGGAGAAGAACGTGCCCTGCTGGGACTGGAAAACTCCCTGGTCCTCAGCAGGCTTGGTAAGGGGAGAAGGTGGGCAAGCAGCCCTGAAAGACATGGAGCTCCATGGCTGCCCCAACAGGCAATGAGTTCTTTGTCCTGCAGGTTTTGTCCAGCTCCCAGTGTCTGGGCGCATCTACAAAGTGCCCAGCACGAGCAGTGACGAGATCTGGCTGTGAGCTGCAGCGTGGTGCCCTTGGGCCAGGGCTGCCTGGCACCAGGCACGTGCCAGCCCCCGGGGCCGAGCAGCTGAGGGTGCCAGGAAGGCCGTGAAGGGAAGCAGCAGCAGCTGACCAGCCCCAGCTCTGGGAGCTCCACTGGCAGCCAAGGCATGGTTTTATGTAGTCCCTGAACTTCACCGATATTCTGTTATAACCAAAATGCATCAAAACTGTTTATAGCCAGGCTCCAGCACTGCGATTCCTCTTGGGGCAAAGCCAAGCACCAGCTTTGCTTTAGCAGATCTGTGACTTGCTGCATGATCCTCTTTGCCCCTGTCCCTGCTGCTGTGGCAGACAGGTGGGAGGTCAGTGGAGCAGGGGCTGAGGAGAGCCCTCCCAACAGCAATAAACTGAATTCAATCATCTCTGTGGTGCAGCACAGGTTATTTCTGCTTGACAGGAGCTAAGGGACTGTTCTCAACAGGAAAGGGGATTCAATAATAATGAGCAAAGGAGATTCAAGATCTCCAGGTCAGAGCTTGCAACACCCTGAGCAGATCTGAGTGTTGTGTCTGTGGAATTTATTCCTGTTTGCTCCAGCCCTTATAGTGTGTGCTCAAGGAGCCTCTGCTCTGCAGCACCTGTGGCACAGAGAGCCTGACACTGGGAAAGGCTGGTTTAATGCTGAACTCCTTTGGAACAAGTCAAAAATATGGAACCATTAAGCAGCTTCTGCAACAAATATGATGAGTCAAGCCCTACTCCCTGACACAGAACAGCCCAGCAATGTCTCTAAGATCAGAGAGGCTTCTGATTTGCTGTGTGATATCTCCCAACCTGCTCTGGGTACTCCTCAGTGTCCAGTGGCAGACAGTGATCCAGGAGATGAGGCTTTAATGTGAAGCATCAATTAAAGCTCAACACCTCTGCCTCCGCTGCTTGTGAGGGTGGGTTGGATGGTGGGCTCCTGCCCTTCTGCCCATCAGCCAGGGGCTTGAAGTGCTGCAGGGAAAAGAACATGCAAAGATCTGAGTCCCACTTTGCTCATGCAAAGATCTGACTCCCACTGCTCAGAGCACACTCATGCATCTGAACGTGCTGGCCACACCGTGAGTTGTGTGCTCAGCAGCCAGCCCAAGGAGATGCATTCTGGCTTGTGCTGGCCTGTTGAACAATAGGGCAGCTCAGCCCAGAGTGCAGCCTAGCTCCCTGTGTCAGGCAGAGGCACCAGGGAGAGGATCAGCTGAGAACGTGTTCTCTGGGGCCCACCAGTCCTTTGCACACTCCCACTGCCATCACAAAGCCAAACGTGAAGGGAGCAGCTGTGAGTGCTGCTAGCTGGGTGAGCAGCACCTGGGTGGAGCTGCATACCTGCGAGTTCTTGAACTCCAAGAAGAGGGAGAAGAGCACATGCAGAGGGTGGATCCGGCTCTTGTACACGGGGATGTCCAGAATGGCTGCGGGTGAGATCACAGCGTGTGAGGGCACCTGGTCTGCCCTGCCCCACACAGAGCACTGTCAGGAGGGGCTGAGCTCCCCACAGCCCACCATCACCTGCGGCTGCACACACCAAAGACTGCAGACCCCTGTAGTACAAGAGCCCACCTCCCACTGAAGCAGCAGGGAATCATCCCGACTGCTCAGGCCTGAGCCTGCAGCTAAGGCTCCCTCTCTTTCAGTGAGAGTGCCAGGCCAGTGTCACACTGTGTCACAGCACAGCCTCCTTCCCCAGCTCGGTCACACTGTGTCACAGCACAGCCTCCCCAGCTCACCGCAGATCATGTCGATGTACTCGGCAAGGTCACAGCTCATCTCTGCGCTCGGCAGACCCACCTGTAACACACAGGGCTGTCAGATCTGCTCCTGCACGAGCCTGGGAGCAAACAGAGGCCCCTGGGGCAGCAGCTGGGAATTCCAGTGCTGGGCTGCTCCTCAACCTCTGCCAAGGGCAGAGTCGTGAGGAGGAACAAGCCCAAGAGGACTGGGCTGTGGGATGGAGCAGGCACCCAGCTTTCATGCAAGGTGGTTTCTAAGACCAAGTGCAGAGCTAACTACTGGTCACCCAGTAAATACCTTTCCCAGGAGCTCCTCGAATTCTGGTGACCATTCCTGCATCAGGGTCTCAATGTCAGGCATTGGCCTGCCAGGGAAGATTAGAACATCAGCTTCAGGATCACACACAACTTCCCCCTGCCAACATCAGGGCTCACCTGGAGTAATGGACTGTGGCAGGAGGCTTGCAGCGATGCAGTTCACTAATACTTTCAATCCAGCTCTCAATGGCTTTAGGGTTCTGTTCTGCATTCTCCAAACTCTTCACTTTTATTTGCTGCTAAAAACACAAATATAAACCTGGAAGTGTTTCATGGTGTTTTTTGGGTAAGCTGCATTCACTTCTGCTGAACCAGGCCTTCTCTCTTTCCCAGCTGCAGTTTACCAATGGATTTCTGCAGGCAGAATGCCAACTACGACTGGGTATGAGCAACCAAAAGGAAATAAAGCATCACCTGAAGTGAACAGACCCAGAGTTCATATCAAGACTTGACTGAAGCAAGGGTCAGATCCACTGCAGTTTAAAACTATGGATTAAAGCAAAAGGACTGGTTTTGCTGCTTTTAAAGCCAACTTCTCAGTTGTAAGAGTAAAATGCCATGGTTTTACTCCAGGAAATGTGCAGCAGGTGTGACCTCCCTCCCTGACTCACTGTGATGTTGTGCTGCTTGGAGTTCTCTGTCAGCCAAAGGGAGAGCACGGTGGGATCTGACTGCTTGGTTGAGGGCTCATCCAGGACCAGCAGGCCAAGGTTGTCAGGCTTGCCATCGGGACGAGGAACCTGCAGGAAAACAGAGCCTGTTTTCTGTGGGTCCAGGGCAGGTGCTTCCTGTGGGCTCCCTCAGATGTGCATTCTAAGTACAGTGCTGCCTGAAAAGCACACGGTGCTGGAGAAGGAAAACCCAGGCTTTCCCCCCAGTTACCCAGGCGCTGTTTGGGAGGTGACCAAGCCACCAGTGCAGTTTATCAGATCCCCAGGCTGCATGGCCTGGCTGCCTACGTGCTCTGAGATCTGTTTCACTTTGTGGGCAGGATGGAGAGAGGAGCCTGAAGAAACTGTACCTTTAGGAACGCATCGATGTCTCCAACAGCAGGAATAAAGTCTGGAATAAAAGGCTGCAGCTTGTGCTCAATCTCTATTGTTTTGGGAGTGTACCTGGAAAAAAGCACCACCACAGCACAGGTGACTAGAAACTGTGCTGCAATAATTGACACAAAGGAGAGCCAAGAGCAGGCTGAAACCCTTCCACTCACCTGTTGATGTATTCAAAGAGATCTTTGACTTCAGAAGACACTTGCAGGTAGTCAAAATCTGCTGGATTGAAGTCACTAAAAGAAGGAAGAGTAGAGGGAGATTAGCATGTGGCAAGTTCTGTACAACAGAAACCAGGCCCCACTTGGGGCAGGCAAACGTGGGAAGCTGAACCACCAGGCAGTAAGTCCTCTCTGGAAAACACTTCTAGCACAGGGAAAGCATTATTGGGCCCCGTTTTGCTTTGGATCTTCTGGCCAAGAAAAGCACCTGAGTGATGGACATCTGAGATCACACAGTCCCACACAGGGCTGTGAAAAGGGAGCTAAGTGCTCTGCACAAAGGCAGCAACAGGACAGCAATTAGGGGGTCAGTAATAGCTTTGAAGCCGAAAACGATGGAAAAGAATGATGGGGATCTGAGTGACATGTTTGAGAAGGTCCTTCCCTTTTCTGGATTTCTCCTGCCAGCCCGGCCTGGCTTACACCTTGGACACAGCAAACAAGCCCGGGACTGGTTCACAGCTGGAGGAACCACCACCCCGAAGCATCGGGGACGAGGGGCTGCCTGTTCCGATGCCCACGACTCTGCTCACCCTCCTGGGATCTGGGGAAACCGGTGGAGCTGGCAGGGCCCGAGAGGCAGCCGCCAGCCTGAGCCCGGCCGCTGCGGCCAGGAACAGCTCACCCCTCCAGCGCGGCCCCCTGCTCCTCCGAGTCCTCCTCCGAGTCGCTCTCCGAAGACTCTTCCTCCGAGTCCTCATCGTCCTCGTCGTCATCCTCGCTGAAGGTGGCTGGGCCGGGGAGCCGTGCCTCCTCCTGGGCGGGAGCCGTGTCTCAGGGGCCACCACCGAGCCCGCCGGGCCGCGCCCGTACCTTCCGTGGGCCCGTACCTTCCCTGGGCCCGTACCTTCGCCTGTCGGCCGGGAGGTGCCGGCGCCCCGCCCCGCCCGCCCGCCGTGACGGCAGTTCCGGGTGCGGACGTGGCGCGGCGCCGCCATCTTGCGGGGCCGCCCGGGAACCGGAGGGAGCGGAGGGCCCGAGCGCGGATCCCGCCGCCGCTGCCGCTGCTATGGTAAGGAAGGACCAGTCCGCCGCGGGCAGCGCGGGGCTCGGGACAGCCCCCGGGGCAGCCCCTGGGCTCGCCCCGGCCGCCCGGCCTGAGCGCAGGCCGGCGCTGGAGCCCGCGGCCTGGTGGGACGGAGCGCGGCGCTGCCGCCCCGGGTCGGGCCGGGGCCCTTGGGGGCGGCGGGGACGCGGCGCTTTTCTCTGGTGACTCGGAGCCACGGTGCCTCCTCAGCACGGCCTCACGCCGCTGCAGTGCGCGTTCGGCTGTAAGGTGTGAGCGGGCTGGTGGCGCCCGCCTGCTCCCCCTGGGACCCTGTGTCCCAGCGCCGCTCCGGCTCCTTGTGTCCGTCACGGCGGTGTTTGGGTTGGCACAGACCCGCACACAGCTCCGTCAGAGCTGAACTGTGCCCGAGGTGCGGCAGGGATCAGCGCTGCCACGTTTCAGGGTTTCTGATACTTTCTGTCAGTAAGAACAGTTGCGGATTTAAAAGATTCGAAGCGCGGAACAGAATTATCCTGACAAAGGGAATTAACATCTGTGAGAGAGAAATATGGGGAGGAAGTCTGGGCAGACTGGGAGATGGAGAAAGTGCAGCTGGTGAGTGCCTTGCTGCCCTGTGGGTGTGATAAGGCCTGCGAGCTGCCCGGGAGTCCAAGCAGGGCTTCGTTAACCTGGCTGTGCTGCGCCTTTGGCACTGCAGGGAGACGGCACATCTCACGGCCTTCCTGTGTGTGGTTGTAGGCTGGGGCAGCCGGATGGAAAAGCCGATAACCCGGAGCCTCCCTAACGCTCCCAGGGGCTGTACACCTCGGTCTGTGTGAAATCAGGAGTGATCATTTGCCTGACAGAAGCAGGGAGAGCTCTCAGGATTATGTTGGGACAGAATGTGAAACGGAGAGAGAGAGAGCAAAAGCAGAGATGTCCCTGCTGTTGACATAGTTCATTTCCTGGTCACAGAGCAGGACTTAGGATCTTGTTTAAGGGCGGCTGTGCAGGTGAAGTGTGGTGGCAAGAGAAGCTTTCCGTGGGCTCGGCGCGGGAGGCCCTGCTC